AAATGAGTACACATTTGTGTATATACATAGCTAAGAAAAAACATGGTTACAAATTTGCATGATTTTTTTTAGAGATAAAAGGGGTATGAACATTCAGAGAAAAGGTCTGTTTCACACAAAAGCTTGGGAAAATCCTTTTTCAAAAAAAATATTGACAAATCTGAGAATCTGCACTTTTGTTAACCAGATGTGTGAAAGAAACTGGATGCTGTACTGCCAACATGCTGGTGCTTGCTCATGAAAACATGTAATGGATACTGGGCAATTCCTAGGTGACTAATAACGTCCCTTAAGGATACTTACATCTAAACCTCAGTGAAAATAAAAGTAGGAAATATTTCAAAAGTTGACGTATAGGAGTGGAGAGCTGAGAGAGCTCCAGAAAAATTGCACGTCACAAGCCTTTTATGTTACCTAGTGCTTTTCAATCCAGTTTATTGTCTACAAATTGTGAAGTCTGGAGCAAATAAAAAAGGAGGCCACTGACAATGTATCACTGTTTTTTAAATGCAGAAAAGGGATAGCTACACTTACGTCTTTGTTTATGCTTTTGTTTATGCTGTGCTATGCTCAGATTGGAAGATACACATTAAAGGATACAAAGTTATCTGTAAATTATAAAACTTTCCAGTAATTATACTATAGGAAAACAGTTCTGTTCAGATCTTTGGAAAAATATCTGTAGCTGGACTTTCATCCCACATTTTCTCTGGTTAATTAATTAACTGCAGTTCTTTTGTCACTCAGTTTAATGTTTTGAAGAAAGGGAATCATTGTCTCAGTGATTCATTTATGTAGTAAAAGAAATGCTTTAGCTGACTGTCTGTGCACTTGCTGTAGAGGAATGAAGTCAGCATTAGAATGAAAAACAATGCCTAATTTATTTCATTCCTGGCATTCTTCAGTAACAAATGGATTCATTCATAAGATTTAGACCTTTGAAACTGAAGTGTCATGAGACATCAGCTCCATTATATATTGTAAATTATGACAAGTCATGAATTTAATGGTGCAGTCAAGACAAACATTAAATAAAATGCTGCATCTCCATCAAGTCTTCTCATTACAGAAAAACAAATTAGATCAGATCTGTTAGACAGAAATTATTATAGTAATTCAGCCCTTGCCTTTCTGTTTTTCCATTTCCAATATTAAAGGATTGGAATTAAATTATTCTAGAAAAGTATCACAGAATTTTCTGATTGGAAAAGAGCTTTAAGAATATTGAGTCCAACCACTGCAGTGCTTAAACCATTAAAGCAATTCAAGTGCTTTTGTGGCCGGGAAGAAGGTACAATCCATGAGCAACACACAAGATGAAGAAAAGACATTCCCAAAGAAAACAAACAAAAAAAATAATAATAAAAAATTCATTTCTCACCCAATTCCTTCATATAGTCATCAAAATTCTCGCTGGAGACGAGTTTCCAGGTTCCCACAAACCGGTTGCACATGGTGCTGGCTTTGCGAGGCAGGGGTCCTGCAGGGAGAGGCAGTGGCCACAGCAGCTCTTGGTGGGAGTCAGAGAGATCGTGTGTCCAGCACAGACCTCGCTGGCCTCTCTTTAAAGATGCCCAGTCCCTGTAGTGGTCAGGACGGGCCAATCAGGGAGGCAGTGCCAGGGCAAGACAATGCGCACGTTGTCCAAGGCTGCCGTGTCAGTACCAAGGCTCTGGGTGACTCCTGCCTCGGCTCCCTCCACTGAATAGATGGGGACACGGAGAGGGGCACATGGGGATGGGGACATGAGGTTAACACCGCAGCCACCGAGAAGTTAGGGGACACTGTGGTGGGGTCTGAGTCACATGGAACCCCCAGGCACAGGAGAACTGTGTCTATATGCAGCCCAGCTCTGACTGTCCTCCCAGTACCACTCTCCTGCTATCACCATTGCTAGTGCTGTCACCTGTGTGCTAGTCAGGTAAATCAAAGCCTTGTGGATTTGGGGGAGGAACGGCAGAAGCTGCTGTACACAGTGTGTTCCCTGTTTTTTTTTTACCTATCATGATCCATGCTGAAAAGTGTCTGTGCTTTATCATTTAAAGGCAGAACAGAATGATTCTGTCCTGTTTGCTTAAAGTATTTGCATGAGAGCAATGATCCCAAGCTGTGGGTCTTTCCCTGCATATACCCATGTGAGAAGAAGCAGCCAAGATTCTCTGCCTCACTTCTTCCACAACAGGGCATGTTCAGAAGATCACTGCATCACTGGAGATCAGCTCTTGTGCTTGGCAGATGGACAGTGAGAACAGAGGTTGGGTCATTAAAGGGGTCTTCCTCAGTTCTGAGTCCCTTGGTGAGTGGTGAGCAGTGTTATAAGGTTGGGAGGAGGGTATATACTGTTCCTGCTTTGCCCTTTTGCACCTGGATGGTTGGTCTGTCAGAGTTAAGGGCAGACTTGAGCCAGTGGAGTCATATAAGGCCTTGCATTCAAATATGTTGTCAAGTATTTTCAGGTTTCCCTGCTTCCATGAAGAGCAATAGCTTCCTCTGTGCCATGTGAAATGGCACACTAGGGCCAAACACCTTCTACCTCCAGATGAGATGATATAAAAATGTGACATGGAAAATAATTTCTCTCAGTGGCATAACTGCAAATATTAGAATGTGCCTATGTGCCTCAGCTGTTCTGATCTAAACTTCTACACCATGACAAAACTCGGGTCAGAAGGGACCTCCAGAGGTCATCTGGTCACACCTCCTGCTCAAGCAGGGCCACTTAGTGCTGGTCGTCCAGGACCATGTCCGGATGGCTTTTAAATATCTTCAAGGATGGAGATGCCACTTGTCCTTGGGTCCATGTCTCCCCTGCACTGCAGAGCTGTCACAGTTTGACTCAGGATAGACAACAATGCTCTTTCTCCTTCCCTGCCTGGCTGGGGCAGGGAGGGGATCCTCAAACCAGGACAAGAGCCCAGAACTCAACCCAGAACTTCAGCTGTGGACTCACAAGTGCAGAATAAAGCTGAAGGATCATCTCCCTCAACCTGCAGCACTCTTCCTAATACAGCCCAGGATACTGTTAGCTTTCTTTGCCATGAGGGAAACATGGCTGGTTCATGTTCAACTTTGTTGTCCATCAGGACACCCAGGGCCTCTTCTGCAAAGCTGAGTGTGAAAGCTTGAGAAGTTAGAACATTCAAAACCTTTTGTAAGAAGTACATTTAGAGCTATTACCTTGTGCTTAGCAAAAACCAGTCACAAAGGACAAATATATAAACCAAATGTGTATTTGACAGGCAGGAATTCCAAGCATTGCAATTCAAGACACCTCCAACTATCTGAAACTATTTAGTGTAAGACCACATTAACAGGCATTCTGTCCTTCCCCTTCCTAAACTCTCTTCCTGGAGAAAGCTATTACTTGGTACATGAAAAGATTAGATGGTTTCTTTCCTACTTGAATGAAAAACAGTTATCTCTTTGGGGTTTTTTGCCAAAGTCTTTTTCTGAGTTTCTGGATTCTGACCACATATAAGGACTTTTCAGATCTACATTGTAAGGATGGAAGGTACAGTGGGATGATAGGTTGTGGGACTAAGCGTGTTGTGTTCAGGGTAGAAAGAAAGAGAGGGAGCTGATGCTGGTCTAATGAGGGTGATGTTTGGGTCTCATCTTCAAAATTGTCACCTGCAAGAACGAAAATATGCTTAAGCAGGAAAGCAATACAACCTGAGCAGGGAAAATACTGTAGTCTTCAGATTATATTGTAATTGTGGGGAAATAACAGGTCTTAAGCCACAAATGTTGGTTGTCTATGTAAAATATTTTTATCTCATCAGTTGTAACATAAAATCATAGAATCATAGATCCATTAAGGTTGGAAGGAACCTCAAAGATCATCAAGTTCCAACCCCCCTGCCATGAGCAGGGAACCCTACCACTAGACCAGGTTGCACAAAATCTTGTCCAACGTGGTCTTAAACACCTCCAGGGATGGGGCATCAACAACCTCCCTGGGCAACCCATTCCATTTTCTCACCACCCTGATAGTGAAGAATTTCTTCCTAATATCTAACCTAAATCTCCCCTCTCTCAGTTTAAAACCATTAACCCTTGTCCTATCACTATCTTCACTGATGAAAAGCCCCTCCCCAGCTTTCCTGTAGCCCCTTCAGGTACTGGAAGGCTGCTATAAGTTTTCCCTGGAGCCTTCTCTTCTCTAGGCTGATTATCCCCAATTCTCTCAGCAGAGGTGCTCCAGGCCTTTTAATCATCTTGGTAGCCCTTCTCTGGACCCTCTCCAACAAGTCTGTATCTTTCTTGTGCTGAGGCCACCAGAACTGTACACAGTATTCCAGGTGGAATCATCAACAAGGTGGAAACATCCAGGTGGAAACATCAACAAGGGTAAGTTGAGCAGAACTTCCCATTATTGCTCAGGCCTAGTAACACTGTGGTGCAAGGATAAAAAGTCTAGAGTGATTGAAAATAAAAACAAAGTAAAGAACTCTTTCTTCCCCACAACAGGAAGGAGATGCTGTACCTGTAACATGGAAATAAATGTCAGTCTCTGAAGGTGTTGTCCACAGAGTATTCTTTTGAAGCAGTGATGCATCATATCACATTTTCTGTAATGAATAGCTGGCTTTTTATCTGATTTCTGGAAATGAGAAAACTCCTAAATTAAACTATCCATTTCTTCTTGAGGAATAATACCTTCCATTGCTCCTCAGGCATTCTTTGTTCTTTAATTTAATTGTCTTATCTACATAAAGGTACTTCAACAAGCCAAGGCTGGTGCCTTTGAGAAATAAAAGATGATTGGAACATTGTAAGATCAGGCCCAAAGAAATTCAGGAAGAGCAAATTAGTCAGAATAGAGCAGCTATACTGCAGTACCAGTAACATTAAGAACAAAAGTGACAGAGAATTATTTGTACAGACAAAACCCCAGTCTTAAGCAGTCTCAAACAATGTTTACATTGCTACCATCTATCTCTTTGTCACTAAGAAAAATCAGCACTTTCATTTAAAGGACTTACAGTCTAGAAAAACAAAGAGCAAGGAATTATATCTTCAGTAGAAATAATATATGTGGAAACAAATTTTCTTCAAGTTTAGAGGGAAAAAAATGTCAAGGATTGTGAGTACATGTGATAAGAGGGAGCTTTGATTCCCTTTTTTTGCTTATGGTTGGAGTAAACCATGCTTTGAAATCAATACTCTATAATCTGACAAAAACAAAGAGCTAAAACTGTAAAGAGACTATTTTAAAGAAATACAGAACATTGATAGCAATTTCTTGAAAATAAATATGTTCTGGGCAAACCTACTGCCAAAAAAAGGCTACTTAAACTCCTAGGGGAGTAATGAAGGCAACAGAAATGCAAGTGGAGAACAGAGGCCAAATGCCTGACTTGTTGTGAGGACACCAAGGATGTTTTAGCAGTGATTATATGAAGCTGAGGGATCAATTCCAAACACAAGGCCAGCAGTCTGCCTCTTCCCCATAGCTGTGTTGGAGGGTGTGAACAGCCTTTTGTCTCCTTAGTTTGGGCATCCCAGGAGACCAGACCAAGACTGCTGGGACCAAGGGAACAGGGGGCAGCCTGGGGCAGACTGCTGAGCTTGGCACAAAAAGGGCTTGACTGGCCAGGATGAACAAGTACTCCTAGTTCCTTCCAGGGGAAACCAAGAGTTAAAACAAAACCAGAAAAATAACAGAAAGGTCAAAGCACAGAATAAGCTTTTCTTAATCTTTCTCCTGAGCTTCTACATGTCTGCAGGTGTGAGCGAGACCCCTTTTTCTCTTTTCATCCAAGAAACTTGTAAAGGAGTAATGAACAAATTTGCTAAATGCCGAAGATCTCCTCTCAGCATTGAAAGCTGCCTGCTGCAATCAGTATGTTGCCCAGGGGGTTCGTGGGAGTTCTATGAGATCCTTCTTTTCCAGAAAGGAATGCTATGGGGTGAATCCTGATTTTTGGAGAATAGTTCAGCACAGCAGGACCGGTGTTGTTCTGCAGGCAAGGAAAAGGCATTGATCTGCCTGTACCTTTTGAAATTAATATGGTCACCTCTGTCCAGGTCTGAGAGCACACATCTTTGACATAGAGGAATGATCTCCATTTATTCAAGAAGTCACTAGGCTGCTGCCTTTTTTAGATAATAATTTTTGGCCTTTTTCAGAGAATAATTTCCAGATATGTTCATATTCTAAGAAAAGCATCCCTAATTCTTCATTACTGTCCCTATTAAAGTTTCTAGATGAAGGTCACTTTATTGAAATTTCCAGAAGAAGAAGTTTTAAGTGGCTTTTTTTTATTAATAAGCCTAGTCATTGATTCATATACAAAGTCTGAATTAATTCACTAGGTAGTGAAATAAATAGTGATGCTTTCAGAAGAGATTACTTGCTTCTGAAAAATTGAGCTGTCATAAATGTTACAAATGTAACTGCAGGGTTCATTAAAGATGTAATTTTTTTCTTTGAAAATAGTGGCTGGTATAGGAATGTTGGAAATTTGGCCTTTGGAATACAGTATTTCCATACTTGTGAATGATCAGGTGCATTTAATTATGGGCTGATCTTTAATATCTATATATACCTTATTTAAGCCAATGATGCTGCTTTTGATGATCAACTCTCCCATGTAGGTTTTCTGCCACTAAACAGTAGTTTTATCCTGGCTTTTGTAAATAATTTTGGGTTTTATTAAGCGCTAATTAGATTTAGAATTATGCAGAAGGGATATTCAGAAGCAAAATTCCTTCCTCTGTGCAACTGCTACTCCTTAAGCTGATGAGATTTCACAACCAATGAAGTCAAGGTAAAAATAGGAGAATTGTTTGTTCGTGCTTGCTGCTTTTTAAACAAAATTTCTGGTGAATTAACGGATAGGCTTTTGAAACTGCTCTTAAATAACTCTTTAGCTCATCCAGAGGGTAGAGAGAGGTTTATCTTTTTCTTTTCCCTGCTCCAGTTGTATTAATAGTGCAGAAACTTGGGAACAGTCTGAGTCATGCAGAGGAAAGTTCAAGGGCATGAGGTCTCTGCTGCTGGCAGTAGAGACTCAGAACCATCAACTTGGACAGCTGACCTCAGGAATGTCAGAAATATGTGGAATTTGGTTCACAGATCTTCATTGCAAAACTTGGGATACGTGCATTTTCCCATTTTGTGGTTATGGCACAACTTTTCACACTCTGGTTGTCCAGTTTTTCCCTAGACTTCTCATCTTTTTTGTCCTCAGTTTGAGACCTTCCCAGGTGGAGAAATCAGGGCTTCTGTGGGTGTAAAGTTTTGAAATAGGAAGCCAGGATTAAGGGCAGTAAAAGCAGGCAGTTCAAGAACAAGAGTTGAAAAACATGGTGTCCAAAGGGCTTTGCTTCTAGAGAGGCTCATGTTCCCATGACTGATCTAACCTAATGAGCTAGTAGAAAATGCACACATACATATATATAAAGGAGGGTGCACAACTAGCAAACTTTTATAGGCTTTTAGTAAGCCTGAGAGTACCTTTAAGGCTATTATTCTTAATTCAAGGCTTTTTTTTTCCTAATCTAGGACAAAAAGAATTGTTAAGCAAAGGGACATTAACAAAATAACCATAGCTGAGAGTTACAGCAGCTATAATTTCACACTTGAGGTGGAAGAGGACAAGGTCAAAGCACTCCAGGTGATCCCTGGGTTTAAAATTGTTGGCATTTGTGGGCAGAGGAGGTGCCTGGTTCCCCACTCACGTTGGAAGCCAACACTAGGCAAACACAGCAATTGCCCTCCTCCCCACCATGGGGACAACACTGTTGTTCAGAGCGCAGAGGAGCAGCCCTGTTGTCCTCCCTGCTGCACACAAGCTCCTTTCAGGGGGTGGCCTGTACACAGGATTTTTTGTGTCCAGGTCTATATCCATCTTTGTTACACAACAAATGCCACTCTCTGGGTCCTCTCTGACCCTCTTTCTGCAGTGGGAGGGGTCACAGTTGCTGAGTGTGGCACTTATAACAGCCTCCCACACAGACCCTGTCCCCTGTTGCATCCCCCAAGCCCCCCGACAAACTCTAGCACCATCGTGGGTTGTAGAAAGCAGAACATTTTATTGAATAGCCACAACAAATTAAACCAGCTGTGTGTCATGCTTTGGGGATATATCTATAAAAAGCACAGTTCTCTTTAAAATTGATTTGTGGAGTTTTTCTCCTTTGGTTAAGTTAAGTTGCTTTTCTCCAGCTTTAAGCGTTAGTCCTATGTGAAGATGGCTTCTTCATGCTTTTTCATACACTCTTTTGCACGTAACATTATTCATGACGCATTCCTGGAAAGAAAGAAAAATTTAATCAGCTTTTAACTCTCACTAAATAATTGTCAGTCAGAAGTTAGAGAATTATTTATCCACTGGGAGCCAGTATAAGAAAAAAATGTTCATTTACCTTCCTTAAAGCCAGTTGCCAAAACAGTGAAATTCAAATTCGAGAGAAGCAGAAGCAGAAGTCTAATATATTTCATAAAATCAAAATACTGAAAGAACATCCAAGGACTCTTTCAGCCACTTTCAGGAGGCTTCTAGTCTCCTCTTAAAAGCCTATGAAGAAGGGCTCTCACTTTTCTACGGGGAGTGGTGGGACTCTGGAGCTGGGCATCAGCCTTTTTTTCCTTTCACTTTTTGTAGCTGTGGCTTGTCTTCCTCACAACCATGTGCACAACACACACACACGTGAGTCCTACACAGCTTTCAGACTGGCAGCTGCCTGTGTCAGCCTCTGCATGTTGGGCTCTGTCCTCATCTATTTTTCTGTTAGATCAAACTCTGTTTTCTTCAATCGTTCCTAATGAAGTAGTTATTAAAAGCTATTGCTATTTGTTCTCTTCTGGTCTCTGTCCAAAGAAATGTTAATAATGAATTTGTGGACACACATTTTTCTCTAGGGGAGGGCAGAACTCTTCAGGAATTTCATGTATGTGTATTGTTTTGTAGCATGTAGGAATCTCAGCTGCCTTTTATGAACTCAATAGTAGTCTCGTCCCAGATTCTTCAAAGTGCCTTTCCTAAAGCTGAAGAGCAGTGCTGAGAAACCCCCAGCTGCGGGTGGGTCTTGCTGGCACCCAGCCAAGCACAATGCTTCCTGATCAGACACCACCAATCAACAGAGTCTGGATACACAATTGTTTTTTTTTTGTTCTAACATCATATTATTGACCCAGTTGTTGATGATCAACAGTACAGTTCCCACAGATTGCTGTTGGGTCTTCAGTGGAGGTGAACAGAAGGAGCATTCTGCACTGAACATGGATGCTGCTAATGCTTCCTCTCTATTGTTCAGGACTTCACAGTTCTGATATATAAACACTTCCCTCTTGGGGTTGTTGTTTTTTCTCCCTACTTGTTCCTAGCCATGTCTTGCTCTGAAGGGAGAAGAGACAACACCATACAGTTTTGTAAGGCTAGTACCATTTCAGCTTTAATAGATGCTCCAGTCTCATTCAGAGAGACTTCTTGCCAAGTGTTCACAGCCCTTCCAGATGCTTTAGCTCCCTGGGTTTGAATCCAGTGCAAACATGCACTCTGCACAATTAATTCAGAGATTAAGCAACAAAAAGGCACTTACCACCACCAGGTTCCCATCCACCACTTTTCTCTTTATGGTAGTTTCTTTTCCATCCCACTTCTGCACCTGGGTCAATATGCCACTGTCTAAGGTTATGACGTTCTGCCAAAGGAAAAAAGCAAAGTGTGACTCTTTCATCAGGGTGCTCCAGGCTGAAGAGAAAAATACCTCCATGTCCCAACAGTACTGAAGCACCAAACACCCATAGCACTCCCACCTTTGATGGCAGCATTTCTGCCCTGGATGTCAAAATCACCACTCTGTCCTCCTGCTCTCATATCCCTTTTGAGAGATATATTTGTATTTGAAAAGTGCCATTTTTGGACTCACCTTTGTTTTTCTGTCATCTGCTGTGGTCTCGTCAAACTCTTCACCCAGCTTGAAAGAGACCTCTGTATTTTTGAAGGTACTTTCTGTTTTGATGGTGATCACATCCCCATTGATGCTGATGGTCACATTGGGCTTGGCCACACCAGCCATTTTCCTGGTAGCAAACCCCACACCTGTAAATAAGACAGACCACTATGAAATCTGTATCTTTACTTAATGTTTTTCTCTTATCTGTTGGGTTCTGATTTCTTTAGTAGTTTCTGAATTATTTAATTCTGTGTTGTATAGGTTCCTTGGTAACATCTCACTAGCTTGGTATGGTTATGGACCAAGCTGGGTGGAATGACATTAAGAAATTCTCTGCACTGTCATTGTCAGAATAGTAAAAGCAATATTTTGAAGGCTGAGACAAGATTTTAATGCCAGATATTTGCACATACACTTGTTTGAAACAACTGTGGTGATATGTACACTAACTGTATCTACAAATAAATAAGCAGAAATATAAGGCAGTTTCTAAGCCACAAAAGCAAAGCAACAAACAAGGAAAAATCAACAACAAAAAAGCAAGACCTTTTTATATTTATCAGGGGTTAGGCTGAATAAAAGGAAATGATTAAGAAATAGCTGGCAATGGTTATGTCCTGAGTAAAATATGGGGTAAAGATTAGGAGTGCAATAGTCTCACTGGAAGCTGTCTCACTGAATGCTGCACAAGTCTCTGAGTATTTTACCCCCAATCTCCAAATAACCCCCAGCTTTTTAGCATGCAGAAATCCGATCAGTGCAAGTTACCCCATACCTCCCCCACACTAAATGAATATGGAAACCTTTTAAAGCCCAATTTTAATTCTAAGCAAGATGTCTACACCTGTAGAGAAGGGTGTTATCCCTCAAGTCTTTGCAAGCATCTGCGTGAATCCATGCAATTTTCTTTGTTAATATTCACTGGAGGCACTTCTGGAGTTTCATTCAGTATAACAGCTGTGACAATTAATCAGAATCCTAGTCTGGTAACAATATAAAGAAGCTTAGGTGTGCTGCTTTTAGACACAGAGAAGCTTGCTGCACTCTAGCATTACACTGCTTTGTATTTTCAAGGATAAACTCTAACTGGCACAAAATATTGCAGTGACATGTTTTACTTCCATTCATAACACTATTAAGCAGGCATGCATAAACTTGACTTACCTGAAACTCTCAATCAAGGTTTTTTTACATTATAGGAATTTGACACCACTCATTTAAACAGCCACATTCTCCAGTTTAAGACCATCTGATCAAAATAAGTTGGACTAAAACCCCCTTGGTAAAACATCTTAGTAGAAAAGTCAAGTAAAGAATAAAGTTCAAAATCAGCATTCCTTCCCCATCCCAGACACAAGAACTCCAAAGAACAGTTCTCACCCAGCTCTTTCATATAGTCCTCAAAGTTTTCACTAGAAAGGAGCTTCCAGGTGCCCACAAACTGGTCACACATTTTGTCAGGCTAGAGAGAAGTTGTCCACAGGATGAGGCAGAAATGCAGGACAGGACGACAGTATGTGCTCCAGGAGATCAGGAGTTATCTTTAAAAAGGAGCCTTGGCCACATGATGCTCTAGGATGACCAATGAAGAGGGAGTCCCAGTGCCCAGTGTTTTCCTTCCTTCCCTACCCCTCCTTTGCCAGTAGGTCATAGTGTTATTACTCATATGCCCTTACTAGCACAAAGATCACAATCTTGTTTTTATTTAATTATTTTTGTTGTTCAAGAACAACCCACCTTAAAGGCAAACAATTAAATTGTGTTGCTTTTCAGAAATAAAAAAGAGGCTCAATCCACAGAGGATTGTCTTCTCTTCCATAATCTTTTTCAGTCTGCCATATCAAATGGGCACAGCTAACTTCCTAGATTGCAAGATCTGAAAGGCTCCTTGGGATAATTTATTTTGCCTTCTGCATGCCTGCAGAAGTGGATATGGGGCAGAAAGGGAGAGTGTTGGTGGCTGTAGAAGGGCAAGGCAAAAAAGTTCATCCCTTGATTGGGATCTCCTTATCATTGCACCACCTGAATTGGTTGACCAAGAGGTCTGTATTCTGCTTTTATATGATGCAGAGGGATACAGGGTTCTGTGAAAAGCGGAGTAACAACACAGATTATTTTTCCCCCTTTTACTCCCTGTGCTTTCTGAAGACCTATGTCCCACTGACTAGAATTATGACTAATTATGGCACAAAGTTAGGCTCTGGTATCAACCCACTAAAGGTCCTTGGACATTTAATTTGTTTTCTGTTCACACTGTTCAGGTAACAATCTGTTTGAGGCAAGGTATGTACAGGCCTGACAGAATGAGGTCCACTTTGGCAGATCCTCTAAGTTCTGCCACAGCTTAGGTCACAAATAGCAGAAGCAGAACACAGCCAGGCAGTTTATTAGACTTTGCATTTGGCTGTATTGACTATTCCTATGGCAAAAAGCAGCTAATAAGTGCAAACTCCAGCCTCTGTAATTCTCTTTGTGTGGATTTCCTGGAAATACTCTGCTGATTGTTCGGCATCAAATACGGTGGTTCATGTATTTTCATACTTGTTGACTTTGTAAGTAACAACATTGTAGAAAAAAAAATATTTATAATAGAAATGTAAGACCATAGGGGTATTTGGAAGTGAAGGGAGGTCAGGAAGTCTCCAGAGCAGCAGCTGTGCTCAGACTTGGTTGCTCAGGACTGTGCTCCGTTGAGGCTTGGAAACCTCCAAGGAGGGAGCCAGCATAGCTCCCTGGACAACTTGCACTGCTGCCCAGCTCTTCCCCAGGGAGAAAAGGTCTGCTTATCTCCAGTCTGACAATCTCTTTTTTTTCAACTTTTCCCCATAGACTCTCATCCTCCCACCACTCACTGTTGTGAATAGGTCTGGGTCCAGCTTCCTGGTCACTTCCCCATAGGTGCTGGGGGTTGCTGTAAACACTCCTAAAACCATCTCTTAACCAAGATTAACCACCCCAGTCCCACAGCATCTCCTCACAGTGCAAGTGCTCCAGGCCCCTGAGCATCCTGGGGACCCTCTGCTGAACTCACTCCAAAACTGGATGCAGCATTCTGGATGCAGCCTGAGGAAAGGGGAATAATCACATCAGCCTCCTGGCTGTGCCCCTCTTAATTCAGCCCAGGATGGTTTTGACCTTTCTGCTGCCAGGGCTCAAGTCACTGCCCACCAAGACCCTGAGGACCTTTTCTGCAGAGCTTCTCCCTAGCCAGTCTGTCCCCAGCCTGCATCACTTGAGGGCTGAATATGCCTGTACATGTGTAATTAGTTACACTCCTGTGCCTTTAAGACTGCAGACTACAGCATTTCCTTTACTATTTTTATTATTATTATTATTTTCTAGAATAGCTAATCTTAGTTTTGGCCTATTTTTAAAGTTTTTGCATGTTTACTGACTTTCAGCTAATCCCAAAATAAATAAAGTCATGTTATAAATACTGAAGTTCCTAATGCCTTTTTCTGATTGGCTTTCTCAGAGTATCACATACTCAGGTCATCTTTAAAAAGAAACTCTGAGGGACCTTCAAGATTGTGTCATTAGCCTGGGTTTTTTTACTTAGGCTTATAGGCTTGAGAAACACTGCACCCTGTGTCAGCAGTTTGCAGGAACTTGAAAACTCAAACTCAGTAATGGCATAATGAGTTCTTGAAAGTATCAGGTGAGCATTGCTGCAGTGCCCTGCACAGAAAGGATGAGATCTGGTTGAACGGGGTTCCTGCTCTTGCTTTCCTTGCCTTTTGGGAACTACAATTGTGTGGCTACAATTAGTATTCATTTCTTTGGAGGGGAGATAGGGCTTTTATATTCAAAACTATAGCCTGGGAGAGGGGATTGGCAGTACTTTGGAGTTAACAGCTGCCTGCAACGCTTGAGCTGCTGGAAGAGGTTTTTTTGGGAGGGGCAAAGCACCTCTTCCAGGCAAATCTATTTGGAGCCCTCCCTGGGCAGCACCTATTTAAATAAAATCTGAGCTAATCATAGATGCCTTGCAAACACGATGATTCAAAATCGCAAGAAGAAAGCCAGCCTGTGGGTTGACCTGATTGTTTACTTCAAAGCAAGCAGCTATCTGGGAGCAGGCTCATGGCTCCTGGGAAGCATCCTACCTCCTACCAATGGCCTCCTTTCTCTTGGGAGATACTTCCAGTGACAAGAGATAACCTTATGGCATTGATGTTATCTAATACAAATCGTACCTGCTCTCTGGAGCAAAGGCTCAAGTCATAGAGCCCTGCTGATAAAGACTGGAGTACTTAATGGTCATGAAGGAATCCATAGGGCTTGTGAGCCTGGAATCTTAGGCAAACCTAGAGTTTGTGCCACTTGCTGGAAGCGTCTTACCAGCAAGAGCTGTGCAGCCTGACTAAACAGACCTGTGGTTATCAACGCCGATGGGATCTAATGCCATCAAAAGCAAGAGCATCTTCAAAAGTGTAGAAGCTCCTTTCAAAGTATGAGGGGATTTTGAAGAAACAACAGCAGGCAAGAGGTAAATCCAAGAGGGGAAGCTGGTGAGAATCCAGCACAATGAGGAAATGCTGGCAAAATAAATTTGTCACTGATGGAAACCCTGTCTCTTGATACTGACACAAACTGATGTAGCTGAAGTCTGCAAACAGTAATGATAGTCTGCCACGTGTTTTTGGGTGACCTTTGAGGGTGGCTCCTGATGCAGGAGGTGCAGAAGCTGCATCAGAAACAGTATAGCAGCACCTGTGCAGGGAAGATCAGTGGATGGGAAGGTGATGATGCTGGATTAGCTCTTGCTCTGTGAGTCAGACCAATGGCAGAGATCTATTTGAGATAAACAGCTTTTTATAAAAGTTAGCAAAATACTAAACTCCTTTTGGCTTTTTCAGGTGTGCAGGAGGAACAATGCTGCCTCCACTAGAGTATGTGAAAAAGAGGATTCTTATTCCTGTGGTTGAGATTCGTCCCTTAGGTCAGCTTTTAAGTGAGGACTGTGCTAAAGTTTTCTTTGTACTTCAGATATGTATAGATTTGTCACAGTAAAAATACACCTTGTTCTTAAATGTAAAAATATGAATTTACAAATCACAGTTATGACTGTTATCAATAATCTGCTTAAATAAATGCTTCTTTTTCCAAATTGTCCTTGTCCCAGAAGGGCAACAGTGTTCGACTCCTTCAACTGCTATAGCTATTGAATTGGTGACTACCACTGAGGAGCAGTGTATCTGGTTTATGCAGGTGTCTCTATGGTTCTGCTACTCTTTGAATCAAAAATGGGCATGAAAAAGTAGTAAGAGATCTGTGCACATTTCCTGATGCCATAGAAGACTATTAGGCTGTTGACAATGACTTCTGTTTTTTCTTAAAAGGCATGTGGCCTCTATGTGGGGTTGGTGGTGGCACACAGCAATATCCATAGTAAGAAAAAGTATTTATTTTTTAGAAAGTTATTAAAAATAGATATTTTCCTCTAAGCAAGGAAGAAACTGTAGCTTCATTCACTGCAAGCATCCTGTTCAGGCACTGTGACATTTATCGAGAAGATGGGCTATAGCAGCTCCATCATGCCAGGGAGGAGGGGCCATGTCACACTGTCAGGTACTCCTGTAACTTAAGCCTAAAGAAAGGTTTTTCTTACACTTGTCTGGCTACTATAGTTCTAAGGCCCCAGGGTAAGGTCAAGAAGGGTGAGCTAATGCTGAAGAACAGACAGGAACAGGTAAAGGGATGCCCATGTCTGCTTGCCAGCTTGCTACTCACCCTTCTGATTATGTTTGAGACAGGTGAATTGCATTAGACTTCAGCTTAGTGAGGAAAAGGTGTAACTACATCTTCAGTGCTGGTGATGTAACACACTGACTTTACGAAACACTGGCTTCAGTTGGTTTGAAAGTTTCATAGACCAATTGGTTTTCAGTGGGTTTTGTCTCTCTCCTGGGGAAGGTGGTGAGCAGGAGACATGATCAGGTCCTTTTTCCTCTGCTCAGCAGAACAGTCCCCAGCAGTGAAGTGATGCTCCCCAAGCACTTGTGATGGTGGCTTCAAGCCTCACTCAGTCAGGGCACTGTTGCAAAAGGTCACTTCGCAGAAGGAGTCAAACTTTGTCAGCAGCAAAACCAAATCTGTTATTTCCTTCTGCCATCCTCCCTCACCCCCCAAAATAACGTGGTCTTATTGTCTTCTTTAACCCTAAACTTCTCTCTAGATTTAGGTATTGCATCAGACTTGCAAATGAAAAAAGCAATCTGTTTCCCAAAGCACTTCTGCATTTCTTTTAGTGATTTGAAGGCTTGCTAATATTGTTCTGAAAAAATCCCTTTGCAGTCCTTCTCCAGGCACTCTTCCGAATTATCCCAGATCATCCAGCTGAAACCATCTCTTGAAGTATCCACCTAATCAAAGCCATAAGGTCATGAGTTCCATCTACTTTGGGACTGCCTAACAGAACTCCAGTT